TGGGGTCACCAAGACCATCTCTGATGTCACCAAGACCATCTCCCCCCCTCCTCTTCTCCTTCCTCCTCTTCCTCCTCCTCCCACCACACCCTGTCACCTCCATTGACCACTCCACCACCACCACCACCATCATCACCACCACCACCGGCCCAGTCCGTGGCCACCATCTCCAGGTGACCTCCCATGATGACATCACTCAAGTGACAGCATTTTTAGGTATCCCTTACGCTCAACCACCGGTGGGACATCTTCGTTTCCAACCACCTCAACCCATCCAACCATGGCGAGATGTTCTAGATGCATCTTCTCACCGCCATGTTTGTTACCAAGCTGTGGACACCATGTTCCCTGGTTTTGGTGGCTCGGAGATGTGGAACCCCAACCGAGAGATGAGTGAAGATTGTCTTTATCTCAACATCTGGACACCATCATCATCTCCATCATCATCATCATCATCATCATCATCATCATCATCATCATCATCATCATCATCATCATCTCCAGTTGTCCCAGTTTTGGTTTGGATTTATGGTGGTGGCTTCTACAGCGGCGCTGCCTCTTTAGATGTCTACGATGGTCGTTACTTGGCCGCCGTTGAAGGTCTGGTGGTGGTCTCCATGAATTATCGTGTAGGAGCTTTGGGTTTCTTGGCTTTTCCTGGTCATCCAGAAGCTCCTGGCAACGTTGGGTTGATGGATCAACGTTTGGCTTTGAGGTGGATCCAGGAGAACATCAGATCTTTTGGTGGTGACCCTCAGTTGGTGACTCTCTTCGGTGAAAGCGCTGGAGCTGCCTCAGTTGGGTTCCATCTATTGTCTTCTTCTAGTCGTGGTCTCTTTAGAAGAGCTGTCCTACAAAGTGGGTCACCTAATGGTCCATGGGCCACCGTTGGAGCTGCTGAAGGACGGCGGCGAGCGACCACCTTGGCTCAACTGGTTGGGTGTGGTGGTGGTGGTGATGATGGTCATCATCATGACGTTGGTGGTGGTTATCACGACGTTGGTGGTGGTTATCATGACGTTGGTGGTCATCATGGTGGTGTTGGTGGTCATCATGGTGGTGGTGGAACCATGAAGAACATCTCTCAACTCTTGAGTTGTCTTCGTTCCAAGAGTCCATCAGACTTGGTGGACCAAGAAGCTTCTGTGATCCCTCAACAAGGTATTTTCCGCTTCGCTTTCGTCCCCGTCATCGATGGAGATTTTTTGATGGACACACCTGAAGTTCTTCTAGGAACTGGTGGCAAACCAGAAGAGACTGAAGTTCTTCTAGGTGCTGTCCAAGATGAAGGGACCTACTTCTTGGTTTATGGTGTCCCAGGGTTTGGAAAAGACAATGAAAGTTTGATCAGTCGAGAAGAATTTTTAGGTGGGGTCAAACTTGGGGTTCCTCAAGCCAACGAGTTGGTGGCAGAAGCTGTTGTCCTTCAATACACCGATTGGTTGGACCAAGATAACCCGGTGAAGAACCGAGAAGCTTTAGATGACATCGTTGGTGACCACAACGTGGTTTGTCCACTCATGTTCTTCGCTCAACGTTGGGTGGAAAGAGGTGGGAAGGTCTTTGCTTATCTCTTTGATCATCGAGCTTCTAATCTGCTGTGGCCACCATGGATGGGGGTTCCTCACGGCTATGAGATTGAGTTTGTCTTTGGGCAACCACTCAACCCTCAACTCAACTACACGGCCGAGGAGGAGCAGCTCAGCCGCAGGATCATGCGCTACTGGGGCAACTTCGCCAGGACCGGGTGAGGTGGTGGTGGGGGTGGTGGTG